GCACGACAAGACAAACAATCTACACTTGCCTGTGAGGATCAGCGTAGATGTTGGCATCCCTGTGCAGCGAATAAGCGTGCGTTGTCACCACCGTGCCTTCTGGCACGAATACCTCGCTCAATACCCGTCCACCTGCTGGAGCGAGTCGCGGTAACCCACCGGGAGCTGCACCGTACAGCCTCAAGGTCTCTTGGATGACTGCTTGGAGATACGGTAGCTCTTCGGTATCGGCTGTTCCGAACGTGTCGGAATGAATCTTTTGTCGGATCTCTTCGAGGAGCTTTGACTTGACATTCGGATGACTGGCAACCGCCCATACGAGATATGTGAGTGTCACAGACGTCGTATCAGTACCGGCAATAATCAGGTTCTGTGCCTCCCTAGCGATCGCCTTGTCATCTATCGCTCCTTCTGCCATGTTGGTAAACAGCGTTTTTCGACACCCGCCATTCTTTTCCATAACCCGGTATTTGGCAATGGCTTGTTCGCCGTAGATTTCCAGTCGACGGAAAGCACCGACCGCATGTTGGAGAGGCGGAATTGGCAGGTATTTGGCGAGGATAAAGAGGAACGGGAAATCCGCTCGAAGGCCTGATAAGATGAACGTTTTGAGGAGGTCCTTGGTATATTGCGAGGGCTAGACAACCGGGAAGAAATCAATGAATGCTGGTCGAATGCAAGTGCTCAGTCATTGCTTACCTGTCCAGTCTCCAGGGCGTGAAAGTTCTCGCCAAACCCGAGCTCGGCAATCACATCCGTCGTCATGAACGTCCACCACTCCAGCACATCAGCCACACCCCCATCCCGAGCAGCCATCTTTCCCATGCCCGCAATGGCCATATTCACTCTGTCCTTCAACATTTCCTCCCATTCCTGAATGCCGGCTTTCGAGAATGGCTGGGAGAACAACTTGCGTCGAATAGCGTGCTTCTTGGGATCTCGCTGCGAGAAGAGGCCTGCATTGGCCGGTGATTCACCAGAGATGATGGGGTACCATTCGGATTTCCCGAAACCTGAACCGATTCTGTGCACTTCTTTTACCGAGGCGAGTTCGTTGACGGCGACTTCGTTTGGGCTGATTCTTACGATGGGTCCTGCAGCCACGTCGTTCGTGAGCCAGTGCCACCCAAGGAGCTGGAAAGGGCTTACCATAACGCTTGTGCAGCTCGTCAACATAGTAGATACGCCGACCTTGCAGTGTCTGCAATTTGAGTGGCCATTCCGTGAGACTATTCAAAAGTGGGCCAGGTACTTTGGCAAGGGGGGAGAAGAAGGCTGTAGCTAATGCCTGAGAGAAGACTCGTGATAAGCTGCGGTCAATACCTTGGGACAGTCAGTCATGGCTTACTTGTACAAGGCGCACAGTCGCGTAACATGAAAGTAACACTACGACGGTCCAGTAGGGGCTGATATGTCCCGGCAAATTTTCAGACCAAGCAAGAAGGCTGTGATGGACTGCGGGCATGTTTGTTGATGCCAAGTGAGATCGACTGGGGCGATTTATCTGTCATATCGCCGCTGGGGTCCACACTTGGGTGAGCAGCTAGATGTGCTATATATCCTTTGGGCTTGCTATGAAGAGGATCTGAAGCGTATCCAAGTTAGATGCCATGTTGTATTCTTAGTATCGGCCGTAAGGAAGCAAGCATACAGATGTCAGGATCTCCACGGGGCTCAACCTTTGAGTATCTTCAGCGGAGGCTTCTTTGAACGATCTCGGTCGTAGGTCGAAGTTGGCTGTATACGTCCACCAGAGGTGACAGGATGTGAATGCACACCTCGCTGATTGTCATAGGACTATCCATGGCCGTCCATATAGCGTCGGTCATATCTGTCAGAATGGCAAGGTCATCGATACTGTAATTCCGTTGCTATTTCCCAGGACTCCGCGCTCGAGCGTTGCAGATCAATCGAGACCTCGTCTGAGACAAGTGCGGCATCCGTGAAGCTGTCGGTGAAACTGTCGGTCATGTTGAGGATACGGATTACGGTCGTAAGGGTTGCGTTACCCAAGGCAGATGTGATGTGTTGGTTGATGGTAACATGCTACGATGCTTTGTTCAGCCGTTTGTTTCTCGGGCGTCAACAAGCGTCGTGCGTGACTTCTTTCTACCAGTGTGTCTTGATGAGGATTGTGTCCTGAAAAGTCTCAACACCTTCAGCCGGATTCCAAAGCAAAACGTCAAGAATACCACTTAAATTTCAACAACAAGGACTGCCATGTTTGAGGACACCAGTGCATATCACCGGCAGCCAGTTGGGTTTGGACCAGCTCCGAGTCCCAGGTATGTAATTCAGCGAAGCGCTCGTTGGTCTAACTGACTTGGTTGCTCATCACAGACAGGGACCGGATGGAAATCGGTTTACCACCTGGAATGAAGCCAGAGTGCAGTTGACCAGTGGGTGATTTGAACGAGAGAGACCGTTCACATGCTGAACACTCTCCGTTGATGCCAGGTGTCGTTTACGAATGTGACCGAACGCCTTTACAGGCTCTTCTCCCGGAAGGATACGAGATTGATGCAGCCACCGAGCAGCCGACAGTCCTTTTCGAGGTCATGAACCTTCGGAACTTGCCATGGCTCGCAGGCAGAGGTGGGCATTCTTGCGCATGCTCGAAGCTTGTCGCTGACCTGCTCAACTTTGTCCGAATAGGGTACAATACCTGGGGTGTCTACGTCAACGACGTTGTCTGCAAGATCAGCGCTGAACCAGTCAAAGCGTCGTACTTGCTCGTTCTTTTTGAGAACATGAGCGATCCAATTGTGACGGGTCGTGAAGAACTTGGGTTCCCGTGAGTGTAGGTTGATGAGTAGCTCGATGCTTATGCTGAACTATATGTTGCGCCGACAGAAAGGTGTGGGCGGAGCTGCCTGATCCGATAACACGAGATGGACACCTGGTTCATACTGCGGTAAGCATCCTTACCATCATCCGCATATGCCTACTGGCGGCTCATGTATGTCATTGATCACCTGATAGTCTTGGCTTGGGACCGAGTTCATGCGGTAGGCATACATCGCTGCTTTGACATGTTGCACGGAGCTGATGTATCTCTGACTTGGCAGACTTTCTGTACCAGACGTACAAGAACGGCCTATGGGAGAATCACCTTCTATGAGCGCGAGACCGTATACCATGCGTACGTCTCCGCTATCACGTCCTTCAAGGTCTCGCTAATCTGAGCCTACCGCACTTGTAGCTTCCGTCGAAGGTCTCCTACACCACCGCTACGTTCCCGCCGTGGGCGAACCAGGAAAGCACGATGCATCGTATCCGATATTCGTACCAGGCGCGGGCAGCAAAAACCCACCGTAGGTGTCGCTTCCAATGCTCTGGGACTTCCCGCTGATCACATTTACTCTGGCATGCAGTATCACAAAGTACTCTGCGCCTACTAGATCGATACAAGAGTGCAAGCTACAAATCACTCGTCATCCATGGGAAAAGCTACCGACGATTCATAACATTGTCAATGGATTGGCGAGCTTGAAGTTGGGTCGCGTGCGCGAGTTTGCTCATCAGGATATTGCTGGTGCTGGGGATGTGTCGGGAGTCCGGAGGCTGTGAGGAGGGCGGTTGTGTAACTGGTTGCAGGTACAATGGGTTGTAGTTTTCGAGATGAACGACGTACATGCCATTGGCGTCATGTTGATCTTCCTGCATACCAGGCTGTCAGGTTGCAGATGTTGCTTGCAGTTTCATGTCAAGCGGACTATTTCAACTGCAGCTGCGTTGTCCTTTCGAACCACACTGGTCTCGCTCTCTATAAAAGCCCCGTAAAACGAATAGAGTCATGCACATGTTCCAGAAGTCCCTATATGCCATTACATGTTGCCTTCGAGCGTCTTGCCGTCAATTTTGACAGGCTCGGAAGCGATCAAGATAAACATCATCCTAGCCCACTTGTCCGATTTGTTCCACCATTTGTGGATGCTACACAGGTATCAGGTCAGTTTTGTTCCAACATCTTGCCAAAATAGCACTCACGTTCCACGCTGAACAACAACGTCCGATTGAGTCATCTTCCTAAGCTCTCCGTTATCAACCTCCATCTCCAGATCACCAAAGATGACTACTCCGTAATCTAGCGAGACAGTGCGGTGCATTGGCGAGTAGGTCCTTGGCGGGAAATCGACGAATCGACAGACAATACCGTCCTTGGTAGCTAGCGTTGAAGTGTTCTTGGTGTACGCCTTGTCCTCTGTGTCTTGAATCGGAACAGGGAATCCTTGAGTCGTCCATGGCACCTACAGACAAAGTTTAGCGTTCACGTATGGTAGAGTACGATGCTCGACTCACATGGAAGATCGCGCACTCCTCTTCATCCTTGTAAAAGGTCGTACTCGGGATTTCACCTTCTATCCAGAACGTTGCGTCTCCCTTTTCGTTGTGCGAGGTCACGAGTCGTCGAGGATGGGCAGGTGCGGTGTGCATCTTGCTGTCGGCGGGGATTTCAGCGGAGGGAGGAGGAGCCATTGTGGGTAATTGAGGGAATAGGCTGATGGAGTGGTGGTTGCGTTGGTGGAAATGCTACCGAGCTGGCATGGCTGGCATGCGGATTGCAAGGCATGGTCTTATATGTCTAGCCTCCATTTACGCACCGGCATCCTCGTCGGATCTCATGATGGCCGCACGAGATGAACAGAGGAACAACCGGTCGCACACGAATTGCCCCGCAGATGATGGATCCGACAACTCCTATTTGCGATATCAAACGGTGCCACCGAAACCGCGCGGATGCACTATCCGTTCGCGACCGAGCTAACGTAACTGTTAACCTCGAAGAAAGCGAAGGAATAGGAGAATGTGGTTTCCCAGGACAGCTCCCAGGACGTCAAAACGAAACAAGAAAATCCTCAAGAAAATCCATATCTCGCCCAAAACCCAAAACCCAAAAGACCAAAACCCAAAACCCACTCAAGAGACTTCGAATCAAGTGCAAACGATACCTCCGGCTCTCAGGGTCTAAAGCATCGACAAAAGGGTCAAAAATTGTAAACCCACGGTGGGGATCGAACCCACGACCTTAGCCTTGCGATAAACCCCTTGTGGGTTAATAGGAAAGCTACGCACTACCACTGTGCAACGCAGGCTGTCGATGCTAGGGAGACGCAATGATTGAGTATGTCACATTTTACCGATGAGCCATTCCTTGGCCAGGACCGATCGCAATACCCGATGGGCCAGGAAGCCATCTCCCGTGCTCGTCGTTCAGGTTTGCAACGCTCCCATCGCCACCGGTCTGCTACAACCGGACCAGCCCAGCGATGACAAGGCTTGATCTGTAAAATACGGTCGATGTCACAGTGGCGGGCGACTATTTCTGGGGAAGTCTCCGTCCGTCTTGGTATCCCGACTGAACGACTGAATACGAAATGTAGTGTTATAATTCGTGGCGTCGCTCGCGAGCGACCGAATTCAGATTCAGTCCTCTGCGTTTCGCTATGATATGACGGACGAGGCGAAACGGATAAGAACGGCCGTCATTACACCCCCCGGCATGGGATACCGAGTTACCCTCTGCCGATGAGGGATCCGAGCTCTCCCCTCTAACACAACTCAGTCGCGACCATCATGTCCGCAGACGCCGTTGCAGAGGCCCAGGCTAAGAAGCCGACGAAGTGATCGTGAGTTTGCGGTGCGCATGCCTCGGTGACATGGCTCGCCATGGCCTGCAAGCCCTGAGAACATTTGTGTGCATGAAGCAAAATCTGCCACATGGCGAAAGCGACACAGCCGGCGACCTGGGCTTGGGCCGGGGCGTACACAAGCTGTAAGCTGGTACAAGAGCGCCAGGAGATTATGCAATTCTTTGCCCCCTGAAGTCGCCAGAATTGAAAGGCCCTTCACTCTGCTCTGGCCTGGCTCAAAGGCGCTCATCATTGTTTCCATACCCACCGAGCTATGCTACCAATTGGTGGTCCTTTGTATCGAAGAACCAGGTAGGGGTACATTGAAACAGCCCCTACCCGTCAACCGTGCAATGGATTCGGTGATAGATTATGCAGACAGAGACTGCGCGGCTGAGGGAAGGATATAGGACGTATAAAGAAGGGGCGGTAAAGTATGCAGCCTGTAGCGTGGTATACACCTCGCCTCTTATTTTCGCGTGAAGTTGCCTAGTCATCATCGCTCGCCATCGGTGAAAACGTTTTCAAGGTCCATACAGGTCATCCCTTACTCCGCTAGTGACAATCCGAGACTGCGATGGAAGTAGCCACGGTCGACCCAGCAAACAGTTCTGTCGCTTCTTGTTGTGATGATACTGACCGACGTTTTGGCGGTGCCCTCGTGCCGACAGATCTCCCAGGGTGGCTACCCCTCGCATCTACTATGTGGTGGAATCATTCCGATGGCGGAGACTGCGGTGACAATGACAATCTTACGGGCTTCTGGCCGATCATCGATAGAACATCCGTCGCATCATCCCCCGTCGCGTCCGTCGGGGAATTAGAAAAACTGTTGGAAGAGCCTGATCCCGATCCCAACAGGGACCATCCCAACCCCTTAAGGCCCTGTGGAGGAGCAGAATCGAAACCGCGTCCATACAACGATCTTGACGACGCAGTCAGTGATCAGATCTTAATTCCGTGCAGGGATGCCGCTCCCCACTCTCGACTCTTCCAGAGATCTCCGCACCCGTTGCCGCACCTGAAGGCTTTTGGCCAGATACCGGAAGCGAGCTTTCATCAGCACCGTCAACGCCACAGCTGAACGCCACCCCGAACGAAGCACACTTCCTAGCAGAGATCAATCTCCCTGATAATTCCCTGGGTTCCAATGTGGGCAACGTGAGGGTGTTTTCCGCAGGGGGACGTGCGATACGAGAACGGAGAGCCATAGCAGAAGCTATTGCAGCGTCTTTAGCTAACAATTCTGGAACGTCGGGGTCTACCGGCAAACCCGGTCTACAAAGGCTGGCGAGTCATCGTGAGAGATTGCACCGCCGTCGAAAGTCGCCCCGTCCTCCCAAGCAGTGCAGTCTCGACAGCGAAACGGACGCCTTTAACCAGATCGGCAGAACGCTCGCCTCCACAGTGGACTCACGAAGACCCAGCAAGACCCGAGGACGAAATCGCAGGGAAGAAGGAACACGGTTGATGGACGGGCAGGCATGCGATTTTTGTAGACAGGCAAAGTACAAATGCGTAGGAAAGGATGAATGTAAGTTCGGCGTAGAATCTCGCCCGGTGACAATTTCAGCCTAATTTATAATGGGAAAACTGCTTTAGGTACATCGGTGTCCAGGATGACAGCAGCCGAGGAGCGGCGTCGAGTGCTGCACGAGAGGAGACGAAAGATCAGAAGGTAGAATACGACCAAAGAAAGCCGCGAGTCAAGACGCATGTGAGATGGACGACCTGCTACTGAGGCAGTAGGTAAAACGTCTAGTCATCCACGTTTGCAGCAGAAGAGATAACGAAAGAAGACGTGGCATCTGTCAAACGATAAAGCTTCACTGGAAGATGGGTGATAATTTTTAAATGTATATGTATAGTTTCGAGATTATGGCACAAGGTGACATGCCGGTTGAGAGATGTACACCATCCCTGAGAGGTCGGTTGAGAGGTGAAAATGTAACAACTCAAGGACACATCAAGGCTCCACCTCGCTGAGCAAAGGGACCGGGCAATGGTCGAAATATACCTGTCACAGCTCCGGGAGCATGCCGGAAGTGCACGAAGGTTTCCGTAGTAGTTGCTGGTGCTGGTGAGAGATGGCAGCCGATAGCCCAAGACTGTTGCATTCTGGGTGAGGCATAATAAGCCATATCAATTCGAAAGTGATGGACAGCACGGATGGTGCGGCCTGAGGCGTTGCGAGAGGTACCACCCGTCTGCGATCGTCTAATGACAATCTGGTGTCCATCAGTCTCGTTGGAAGGTGTACGCCGTGGAGGGGGTTTACTGCAGAGAACATGACTTTCGAAAGAGTCGCTTAGTAGGCTGAGTGTGTCCGGGATGCGTCACGAATGATCGTGGAGCCAAGGGGCAGGTTGCAGTAGTGTTCGGTACATATAGGCAAAGCGGTATGAATCTTGAGCGTCGCGGGTTAAGGCCGATGGCGAGGTTTGCCAAAGCGATGTATACTTAAGTCGGAAGCCGGAGAGATCCAACGTGACACTATGCCTGTCCGTCATGTAAGACAGCGGCGGCACCCTTCGGACGTGACATGCCAAGCGAGCCTAAGTCCTATGCACCTCGAGACATCCAAGAAATTGGGATCAAGTCGTTCCGCCGGAAGAGTGTTACCCTGAGGGTCAATCGGGTAGTAAGTTGACGATGTCGAGCAGAAGGCGGTTGATGCTGTACGTGCAAGATAACTATGTTGAAAGACCGGTACCAACGAACGGAGGAACACAACTTACCCGACGTTCCCTCATCAGTTTCCTAGAGTATACCACGTGAATGCTCCCAGAGAAGCCCAAACTATTGCGACCGTCCTACTGGCCCTTAGGCATAGCGGAAGTACTGCCAACCGACCCAGTTGGCGATCACAAACCAGGCCGTGACAGGAACCAGCATGGGGACGGTATACTGCAGATAGCGGAGGTCGCTCGTTCCCTATTGCACGAACAGGAGATTTCTTATGAGCTTCGCAATTCCCTTAACCAATCTTAAATGCACTCACCCACGTTACAAGACTACTCGGCAACCAGTACGACCCTAGCAAGATGAAGAGCGACGAAGAGAGAATGACCAACGAGATGGCGCGTGTTTGTAGCTGTTTGGCGGTGAGAGGTTTGCGAGGTGTTGGCGCTGGCCATCTTGACGTCTTTGGTTGGTCCATGCTCGCGATGAGTGGCCTAATCAGCGCTGACTTATGCTCAAATGCCCAGCGTCTCATTGATCATTGATCGTTCATGTCATTCAATGCTCTATAAGTACTATAACGAAGGTAAGGTGTCGGATACAAAAGGAGACAATTTTAGAGTAGTTTACAATAAACAATTTCCGGACGGTTACGGACGACTTACTACCATCCACCATCACCATTAACTCAACAAACCCTTTTAATTGTAAATTGCATTCTTCACACTCTTCAAGAATTGACTTGCCATCACATCACCGCAGTACATGCTTCAGCGGCTCTTTAAACGACTACCACTCCATCTACAATCCACCAAAATGTCTACCGTCGCCGACACCATCGCATCAGTGCTCCCTGAACCCATCGCCAAGAGGATGAAGTCCACTCGAGTAATCGGTACTCACTCTGGCTCGTTCCACGCCGACGAGGCTCTCGGTGTTGCTATGCTCAGAATGACTGATGAATTCCGGGACGCTGACCTTGTTCGAACGCGAGATCAAGCTAAACGTGCGTTGCAGCTCCTTTCTACTGGTTCTTCTCCTTTGCCGTACATTGCGGTCTGCCATACTCATTCTGCGTTCGCCTACAGTCGATCCTCTGGATATTGTCATTGACGTCGGAGGCATCTACGACGCCGTTACAAACCGATACGACCACCATCAAAAAGGCTTCACCGAGATCTTTGGCAACGGTACCGTTCCCACTCCCTCCGAACCTACCCCTCTCGCAGCGGACGGATCAAAAACATGGTTTGACACCAAGCTCTCCTCCGCCGGTCTCGTCTACAAGCATTTCGGTCGACACATCATCGCCAACCAAACCGGTATCTCGGAGAACGAGCAGGCAAACCATACGCTGTGGATCAAGCTTTACAAGGAGTTTATCGAGGGTATTGATGCGATTGATAATGGGATCAGCCAGTACGACGCGGAAACCGCTGGTCAACCGAGGTACAGCAACCGAACGGATCTTTCGTCACGTGTTGGATGGATGAACCCGCGATGGAACGAGCCTTCCAGTGATGAGATCTTGGATGTGAGTTTCACGCCCAGAAAGCAAGACCTTTTGCTAATTCGTCCCCTATAGGCCAAGTTCAAAGAAGCGTCCAAGATGGCGGGCAACGAGTTTATGAACCGGCTCGACTACTATGCCAAGGCTTGGTTGCCAGCTCGAGACGTCGTCGAGGCTGCTCTAAACAAACGATTCGAAGTGGATGCTACCGGTCAGATCGTCATCTTCAACCAAGTGAGTAAACCTCGTGTCACTCCCAGTACTTTGCTGA